GTGTGCCTTGGCTGTACACTAAATGCCATATTGTTGGGTTTTTCTCTTCATTTATGTCAATTAAGAACAACAACATTAATTATTTAATACGTTTTGGGTGTTATTTTGTGAAAAAAACAACATGTATTTATTTATTGGAAAATAGTTAAAGGTTGCTTTAGATTGCAAGCCCGATATAATACAATGCATGCTTTAATGTTGTTATGACCAAGGTATATAATATGTTTTTTTCTTTTTAAAGAAGTTGAGGTTGAAGTAAAACAAAAACTCATCTATTAACCAAAATGATAAAAAATGAAGAATGTAAATGTCCCTCATGATGCACAAGGCTTAATGCAATGCTGTGGAAATCAACCACACACTACAAATGCCTAATATGTATGTGTTTTTGACATTATTTAACCTTTGCTCTCCTGCTTTGTGACAGTGCTGGCCTGCAGGAAAAAGACGTCATCATCAGCATCAACGGCGAGCCAATCGCCTCGGCCAGTGATGTCAGCGCTGTCATAAAGCGGGACGAAACGCTGAAAATGGTGGTGAGGCGAGGCAACGAGGACGTGATCCTCAGCATTGTCCCCGAGGATATCGAGCCCTGACCCCTCAGCGGAATGAGTGCAATCAACCCAACCAGTCAACCAATCCCTAGCTGGCTCCGTGTTTTTCAACCAATCATGAACACTTTGGAAAACCAAGCAACCAATAGGAGTGTGCATCTGGGGCCACACCTACTGCATTTAAAAACGTTTTATTATTAGCCCAACTGCTACTCTTCTTCTTCTGTTAAACTCGCACATATCTTCCAAGATCCGACTTTATGACCCTGGGAACTGATGCTTCGACCCTTACGAAATACTTCTTATATTAGTTTGTTTTCTGATCCCCATTTACTTTCACAGACCTTTTATGTCCAACTAACCCACATCTAGCTGCAAAAGGGATACTGCAGGTTACCGTAGTTCTGATCCGTTGTGTATGTTCTTGATGGAATATTTTTTTAATAATATTTTTTTGTCTGTTTCTGTTTGATGACATTTAAAAAAACAAAACGAAATACATTTTTGATTTTAAAAGTGTTGTCAGTCGAATTGATCTCGAAAAGGTTCTTGATGGATTTAACGATGTCCACGAAAACTTGATAAATTGTAAAGTTAGCAGCCATTGGAACCTAGTGTCGAATTTTGTAAAACTGATATTTTTACTCAGATTTTGTTAAAAGCAAAAGGAGATACAATATGCGTCTTAAATTCATCAAGTGGCCCGAGACATGACATGAATACATGTTTAAATAGCCCTATTATGCATTTGGGGTTTTCCCTCTCCTGTAGTGTGATACATAGCTTTTAGTGCATGTAAATGGTCTGCAGAGGCTAAAATCCCTGTGTTCCCTCCAGAGGAAGTTCCTCTCCCACACCCTGAAACACGCCTGAAACGCCTACATTGGTCTCCTTTGTTCTTCCATAACATAGTGACATCCCTATGTATCATCCAGACTTCTATTAGCTAGTTCTCCAACACATTGTACATGATAGGCTAAGGGGCTGGACATCTCTAAGCGGTTGACCAATAACAACAGAGCTGGCCAGCTAACCAATCAGAGCAGACTGGGCTCTGGTTTCAGACAGAGGGTGAAAAGAGGTGCTGCAGCACAGGCAGTATGAGAAAAATAAAGAGCTTTTTNAGGACTCTTGCTTGGTAGCACATGTACCTCCGAGTCAGATGCTTCAGAAGCGAGGCAAGAATCCCTCCTAGCTTCGGAAAACGAAGAATGGTGGAACAGCCTGTTCCACCATTCTTCGTTTTCCGAAGCTAGGAGGGATTCTTGCCTCGCTTCTGAAGCATCTGACTCGGAGGTACATGTGCTACCAAGCAAGAGTCCTCGACATTGAGAAACACCCTGTGAGTTCTGTGATAAGCAGGTTGTCTGCTCTGCTCAGATGCAGCTAAATGACATGACATGTTACTTGTTAGACGCTTTTATCCAAAGCGACTTACATACTCAATACTGTGGGCAATCCCCACAGGAGCAATTTGGGGTGAAGTGTCTTACCCAGGGACACAACGACATGCTGACTGCAGTGGGGTTTGAACCTGCTCCACACGCCTCCCTCCTAAATGCTGTCGTGATTAAATGCTATATCATGTTTCAAACCATATCAAGGATTATTTCTGAAACAGTATGGAGCTCAAGTTCTTCTTTTCTTGTGGGTTTACTACAAGGTGAGTTCCTTTTTTATTTCCTTATTTTTTACACATAAGGCGCATTCACACCGCAGGACTTTTCCCACAAAGGTTCATGACAACTTAGTTCATGAGAACTCTTTAGTTCTCATGAACTAAGTACAGATCGCAGTCACACCGGAATAAGTTCCTGGGGAGGATTAGGCAAATGAAGCCGCTGACATCACTTCTTCTTCTGCTTTGGGTTTACTGGCAGGCCGCAAACAACTTCACGGCGTATACTGCCACCCGAAGTCCCCAGCCGGAAGTCCCCGGAGTTGGGGACTGGCTTCAGTAGAAGCTGCTGGGACTCCCAGCAGCTTCTACTAAAGCCTTCCGAGTAAATCGCCAGAACGCCGACACCTCCTCATCTCCACCGCTCCCATGTTTTATAAATAATAAAATGGCGGCTTCACAAAACGTTTTGGGAGTTTTACGGGGCGTGGTTTGCATTCCGCCCAGCCAATCAGACATAGGAACCTTTTTCTCCCACGAAAGTACCTGCTCTCTAGCAGGGACGGAAAAGGGGGTAAAAAAGGTTCTGATTAACTAATTTTGGTTCCGGCTCTTTTTGGTGTGAACGCGACATTTCGGAACTATATCGGAACTAAAGTGGGAAAAGTACTGCGGTGTGAACGCGACTATACTCTCTCCAGTACAGGTTAGCTCTGAGTGTTAGTAATGCTTGCTAATGCAAACAAAGACCGTATTACGTCCAAAACACGTCACACATTGTTTCTGATAGCAGCGTTTCTGATAGGGCCGACCCACATTTCCGATATTACATCATATCAGAAGCAAATCTGAATCAGCTCTGTTGTTCCCCCATTTTTTTTGACTTGGGTATGGAGGAAAAGAGAGAGGGTTTTGTTTTCTTCGGCACACCGGGGACACATATTTATGTATAAAATAAATCAAAAAGTGCATTTTGCATGATAGGACACCTTTAAAATCTACATTATTTCTATGTCCAGCAACATCAATGATTGCAAAAAATTGTAAAAAAGGTCTTGGTCCGCAATCAGCTCTACTGTGTTATCGTCAGTGCTGGTTATTAAACCAACATGGCCAAAATGACAAAATCGAGACTTCAAAATGTAAGTCCACAAACCAATCGATTACATCACAGGGACCATCTCTAATGTATGCCCCTGTATACCTTCAAAGCTCATTACATTCCCACTAGCATCTGCTTTACTTAAGTTTAGTGCTATATCTAACAAATGTTATCATGCAAAACAAAGAGGAAAAACAGAACACCTGCTAATTAAAAATATGAACACTGCCATTCTGATTATATTAGCATGCTGATATTAGCATTTGGCTACAATCAACTATGTTAAGTGCAGCCTCATGTAGCAGCTAGCCTGGCTGGAGAGTGCATCTATGTCCCCGGGATTCTGTGCTCCTTGGGTGAGTATACCCTTAATATAAATACATTAAGGAGACCTGTTAAAGACCTTTTGTTCTCGGCAGTATTTTTTACCAGTGCCAAATGTTCAATGTAGCCTATGTTGTCTTGGATCTACATGTTGCAATCACCCAGCTTACTGAGGTTCTACATGTTAAAACCAATTGCAATCAAATCAGCCAGCAATATTGTTTCTTGATTTTGATCCCTGATATCTGGCAATGTCTCCCTTCATTATTTTGCAATTTGTATTGCAAAAGGTATATACCAATCTCTTGCAATGATAACTATGGGAAGATAAGACCCTGGGAACATCAGTTCGGATCCAGCATGGCTTACTCTTTTTTCTCTCTCCATCTCTTGGCAAGGCAGAGGGAAAAGTCTAGTTGCAACATAGGGTAAATATAACTTTGAGTTGTAGCAGTGAAAATAGAGTGAGAGCAAGGAAGCTATTTTTTCGAAAAAAAGTATGACATGTCTAAACCTTCCTCTTATTTCCTCACCTTATATTGATTTTTCAGTTGCATTTAAATATAATGCATCTCCATGTTTTATATGTAATAGCTTATACACTATTTTCAGGCATACTAGTTAAAATAGTTTTTATGCCTTGAGGAGAAATATGCAGAAATGCAGTTTAGGGATTCCAGCTGCCCCCTCCCACATCTTAAACCCAGTTTCCTCTGCGAAAAGTGGCATGGCCTGCCTGCCTGCCTGCCATACATACATACATACATACATACATACATACATACATACATACATACATACATACATACATACATACATACATACATACATACATACATACATAGAGGTAACCCAGTAATTAGGGGTACTGTAATTATGCCTTAGCTTTGTAAACTGGTTGGGCAGTGTTGCCAGGGAAGGTTTTGTTGACTGTAGGATTATGACAGGGAACTTAAATGGTATGTGTTTATCTACATTCTACAGCAGTGAGAGCTGCAGTCTAAAATATCCACCAGGTTCTCGGTAATGGAGTGGCTCAAGCTGTAAAGTTCAGTGGTCATCATCATCATTATCCTTGTTGTCACTCTTACTGGAATCTGATGCATTTCTGCCACAGCAGGAGGATGTTGGACATCATAAACATTAAATTAGATCAGGCACCAAAGTTAAGTTTTATTATATAATGTTTATTCTTGTTTGGCTTCTGCTTTTACCTTCAGTGATGGTAGGTGCCAACACTATGGGGACTCACTTCCATTTTTGGTCCACACAAGGAAAACCATTACATTTTGGTGTTAAGATTTCGTTCTGGTTTATGGTTGGACTGGTCTTGGCATGGAGTGGGTATGCCTACATTTAAGATTAGTACTGGATATTAATGCCAGGATTATATATTTGTATTTGACATAACCTATTAGCCTCCTTCCTGATCAAATGTTATGACTGTATGTGGTTGGTTATAGGACCTGAACAAATATGTAATATCATGTATTCAAGTAGCACAAAACAATGAGTAATGTTAAGTCTTGGTTATTCTAGCTTTCCTATTGCTTTGGGGTTTGAAAAGCAAGTGCTCCCAGTTACTTTTACAATTGTTTAAGTAGAATTTGAAAAAGTTCTATCAATTTTTCATATGATTCTGGTTTCCAGCTTCCCATTTTCTGATGTATTTAAATGTCAAACATTGATTACCTGTCTGCCTCTTTCAAAAGGTTGGTGAGCTGTGTAAGTTCAAGGAGAATGGAAATCAATCCTAAAGACTATTGTTATATTTATGACAGTGATATTTTTATTAATACATTACAATGTTGTCAATAAGCCAAAACAAAAGTATCCTGGGTAGAACTGTAACTCAATGCAGTGTCCTACTTTGTGACAGGTGTGTGTGTGTGTGTGTGTGTGTGTGTGTGTGTGTGTGTGTGTGTGTGTGTGTGTGTGTGTGTGTGTGTGTATGTGGGTTGGTGTGTGTGTCTTTGAAAGACAGGTGGTTGAGGAAGTAAAATGTTTGACACTGGCTAATTACAAAGGCAGTCTTGTGACTTTCTACGGCCGTATTTTCCATAGGTGTTGACAGAAAAGCTTTTTATAATAATTTACACATGTATAATATAAGCACCAGGCATGTGTTTCTATTCATGAACACACAGTTAGCCGACCATAACAGCAGGAAACTCAGCATCTGATCAAAATGAAATCTAGTGTGTCTCGTCCTCCCCCTCGCTCTCCCTCTCTCAGCACCCGGTTCTTAAGTTCCCACACGCCACCACAATAAATCCTCCCACAACAATATTTCCATTCATGCCACCACAAATCACATTCATGATAGTTGCAGATTTATAAGTTATCATTCCTTTTAAGGGCATTCTCAAACTCAAATTCCAATGTGCAACATTTCCATATTCTCATGACTGTCAGATCAGCAGATTTATTTTCTCACCCCACTCTGAAATAAACAATGGCCGCTTTTCTGGACTTCAAAGTGCTAGAGGGGGTGAGACTGGGCTGTTTGGTAGCATAAAATAAAGGTGAGAGATTGGGGTTTATCAGAGATTTCCTATGAGAAAATGCTCAAATGTATTCAACTAGTGCATGTGGAAAGGTGGTCTATGTGTTTCAGAAAAATCCATTACTGGGGATTTTCAGTACGGACTCTTTGGAGGAAGACTTTGTTGTCTTACAGTTTTCTAAATCTCTGCCTTTCACTTGTGTGCTCTGCCATTTTTTTCCCCTGAGTTATTTTGACCTAACATGACGTGAGAGGCCTTTGACTTTCCAGGAAAATATAATTTGCAAAACACACCTATACACTTTGAAACACCACAGTAGTTGTGCCACTTTGCAACAGCATTGTTGTTGTTAGCTTTAATGGTTTTCAGTGTGATCATAGGTACAAGGCGTTGGAGTCAAGGTCAGCTAAAACTGATATGACTACAAATGACATTCATTCATTCATTAGTCATTCAGTTAGTGGTTGTGTAGCTCCTTGGGTCTTGAGGGGGAAGCACCTGATTTATTGGGGAACAGATCCCCAATCATTGGTCAGGTAATGCCCTATCGCCCCCCAGTGGTCATAGGGCAAATGCAAATGACCTTGGAGGTCATATCAGAGCAAACACCCAATTGATTTTGTGTTAAAAACAAATAAAAATGTGTATACTTTAAGATATGATTGTATTTCCTACACATTAGGAGGTTGTAATCTGAGGATGCAGGAAAGTAAAGAAAAATAGTTAAATACTAAATACAGTTATGCTTCTTGCTTATTATTTATCAGTGTATTTTTTATTGCAAGAAGCAGTCCATGAACAAGAAGGCAGCAAGATAAAGCAAATCTGATTGTGAATGTGTCTGACATGCTACCCTGAGTCATTTATAATGCCGTACGTGACAATGTTCATACATAGCTAGGTTTTGACCCAAAATCTCTTCTGACACGGTGACACAGGGCAAGGGACGTTTACGTCACAGTTTTGACAAGTAGCTCTTTTCTTTGCCACACACAAAGCCTCAACTGTGCTCATAATGGACTGGAAGAACAGCTGCTGGCGTCAGCTCCAAGATTGTGAACCATGCTGAGCGGTGGTAAAAAAAGCCTTTGCTGCAGGTGGCAGCATGTGGATGTGAGCCCCACAGCGCAGGTGGGCCCCGGGTGCAAGTGCATATCGGCCCCAGTAGTGCCAGAAGGACTCTGGTCGCGCTGCGTCAGTAAAGCAGGTGCTTTCTGCACCATGAACTCTGTTTCACACCAACACTGCAAGTATGTGATTATGACAGAGATTATGGATTTCAGTTCTTCACCCTGTCTCTGTCTCTTCAATCTGACTGCCAAGCACCAAAATATAAAATTGTCTCGCTTTATAGCTTTTCAGAAGTCTTCATATAGACTTACACAACAGGCAAATAAGACCAAACACAAGAACACACACTCACACTAAAGCTGTGCCCGGTCCCCAAAGTTAATGTTTAGACGCACTATGCCTGCTGAGATATACTCAGCATGCAGCGCGAACGCTGGGCTGAAGGTCCCCACATGTGTGTTTGATCTTATCCAGGCAACAGCAAGCCAAATGACATGGATTAAAGGACCCGAGGGTAGGGGGGGGGGCGGTTGGCGAGGCAGCACGGTCCTCACAAGCTTTGAATGACCTACCTGACACTAAGTTTTTTATGTAAGAGACACACAATTACCTCGAAAGAAGTAGGTTGCTTACAGAGAAGTGGAGCGACATGAGGTTGACTGGTAGAAAGGCAGCATAAGACAGGTTGTGATGTCTCCAAAAAAACATTGATTCAGGATATTTGTGTAATAGACGTGTGCTTGTTGCTAGGCAGAGTAAAAAAAGACGGTTCTCTCCAAACCACTTTCTATTAACATGGGGTTCTAACTTTAGGAATATTTTTGTCTTCTTAAAAGAGCAGTTAAACTGATACCTGTATTCCCAAAAGCTGAGCAAACAATGTGTAACATTATGTTTTCAAGTATTATTTGATCTTATACATTTATAAGTTTGCACACAAAAGGATATAACGTGTTCTTGTCAAACAAGAATATAAATTGTTTTCACAGTGTTACAAACACAAAATGTCCCCCAACAAGTTTCACAACCACATAAACTGCATTCGTATGGACTTTTATTGTTAACAGGGGAAACATGACTGAGTTGTTCTGCACAGCGGCACTTTGAGCCAAATGCTAATATTAGCATGCTGATGTTTATCACGTGAAATGTTGTTTGAATTGTGAACATTATACCATTTGCTTATAGTACTGAACACAGCACATGTGACTGGTTCATTGGCTTGTTAGTTTGTATGTATTTGATCAAAAAACAACATATCGGGCAGTTTGAAAAAAGATTTACCTTGTGGTAAGCTAAAGGTCAGAGAATCGCAAAATTCAATATGATTCATCACCTTGAAACCATGAAAGATACAAAATGTCATCATGCTAGCAATGCTAATAATATAGTAAACATGACTCGGGTGAAAGCAGCAGTATCCAAGGTGGTTTTATTGGTGTAAATGAAATTATAATTGACAAGCCACAGTATGACCTCCTCTTCAGGACACATTTACTGGGATACAGGAACAGTTGCAAGGGTGCAACTGTACAAATAAGTGACAGATTGACCGACAGGCAAAAGTCACCTCAATGACAGTCTGAAAGACTGAGAGAAAAGAGGGATTACAATCATTGCCAGCGGTGAGAAGAATCCAAACATGTGAAAAAAAAATAGATGCTGACAGACAAAAACAAATATAGCACAAAAACACGTGCACATGGTTATTCACAGGTCCTGACTAAAGGTTACGAAAAGCATTGTTGACCGATCACAGCTCTATTTTTAAAGGTGAGCCCCCACAAGACACCTTTTTGCAAACTAATGTTGTCAGTCAAATCTTATAAAGCATCATGCTGTATTTCATTATGTGGCTTCACCCTAAAATAGACGCATTATCAGCAGAGGCTCAAATGGCTTCATGTTACCTACCGCGTTGTTGCTGTGTGAATTTGAATCAACTATCTGCTGGAAATCTGCCAAGTTTCTATTAAATGTGACCCTTACACCACACACACACACACACACACACACACACACACACACACACACACACACACACACACACACACACACACACACACACACACACACACACACACACACACACACACACACACACACACACACACACACACACACACACACACACACACACACACACACACACACACACACACACACTTGCCAAAGAACTCCACCTGCTCTATCCAGTCCTTTCCAACCATTTTCCTTGCAGCCAATGCTGGCCAGATCCTGCTGCTGTGTTGGCTGTGCTCTGCTTCAGCCAGTGAAAGGGAAGACGAGGTTTTGTTCGCCTGCCCAGAAAGTCTTTGGGATTTGACACAGAAAAAACCTCAAGACAGGGAATACAGTGGAAGAGAGAGAAGTACAGTGAGGGAATGGGGTGACCACACACACACTCACAGATGTGCAGCACGTCTCTGCACGTCTACAGTAAATGTGGCTTGTGGGATCCGGGATATAGAGGAGTTGGGTGTGAGTAAAGAAGAGTCAGGAAAGAATGAGACCATGACAGTGTGTGTGTGTGTGTGTGTGTGTGTGTGTGTGTGTGTGTGTGTGTGTGTGTGTGTGTGTGTGTGTGTGTGTGTGTGTGTGTGTGTGTGTGTGTGTGTGTCTTCAAAGTGTCTGTGTGTATGAGAGGGAGAGCAGTATTGGCTGCAGTCTCTGACTTTGACCCACACAGGCTGCCAGTAAGAAGGCAGCTGACAGCCTGGCCGGTTGCCATGCGAACCCAACGCCTCTGCAACGTGCAGGCTGCCTCGTACACAGCAGCGTCGTGGAAACATTTACTGGGTTACTGAGTCAACAGCAGCAACTGGTGGACAAATCCAGACATTCATTCATAAAAATCACAACCACAGCATTTCACTTTAAGTTTAGTGGTAACAGGCGTCAGAATCTGGAAGTCTGAGCTACTTTCTCATGAAAAATGTTTTGCACTGATGTAATCGAGGTTTCAGTTAGTGATGACACTTAGATGAATCAGTAACTGTTGAAGTTTGCAGACATTACAAGTTTTGCCATTATGCACGTACATATTTCCACACGCCACTTGCTGTACATTTCTTAATAATAAACTAGCATATATCCTCAGTCTCACTCCAGCTGAAACAACAGCATCTCCAAATGGCCAGCAGGACATCCTCTGCTATAACATCCCATAGGGCAGGGCAGGACAGAACAACCTCCAGCAGACGTCCAAAGTCCGAGACACAAATTAGTTAAATGACCCAGCACTTTTAGATGGAGGAGAAATCCTACACTGAGTCTGCAGCAAAAATATTCTTTCGCTTTAAAGGTCACAGAGTCCAACAGAAGAGAAAAGTGTGTAATGTAAGCCATTCTGGCCAGAGTTGGAGGTATCTGGTCTTTGCCTATTGCATGAGGGAGTAAACGTAGAAAGAAGACATTCAGACAAAGCTAAACCAAAAAAATCTATTAGACAAGTCTCTGTTAATTGATACCTTCCATTTGCTTAATAATAGGACAGTGTCCGTTCACAATATGCCTGTTCATGGAAGAAAAAACACTGTCACACCAGGGAAATACATTCTTTCTATTCTGCTAGCAGCAGCCAATCCGCTTGTCTTGATTCCAGGGAGGTAAAGAAGAGTTTGTTTATACATTAAAATATTCTGCATCCTACCAGCATCCAAATTGGACTGCAAAGCCTCACTCTACGGAGGACATGTCAGTCCACTGAAGCCCCGCCCCTTCTGCTGCACAGAACTTTGTTTGCTTGACTAATTTAAGTTTATTAATATTGAAGGCAATGCTTTTCCAAATGTCACTAAGTTCTCCCTCGTTGCCCAAGAAATACACAAAGTAGTACAGTACTAAGCAGTGAAAACAGATAAACGGTTCAAGGGATACGCAGAGTACATAGACAAAGATGCCTTGCTTTACAGTTAGACTCAAAAAAGGCAAAAGGGTTTCCAGTCAGAAACGCCAGAGGAAAAAGGCTATTTTGTCCCACCTGCACTTAAAATGGGTGGAATACCATACTATTTAAACATTATGTAAACAGTTATGAGTCTGCCCTACAACCCTACTGGATAAAAATAGTCTACTCGTTGTTGCTGTAAATATTTGTTCAAAACCTTTTTTTATTCATATAAAAGTAACTTTTCCATACGATGTGTAACTTAAGAAGGAAAACACCATGACAGAAAAACAGCAGTGACTGCGCGCGAAAGGTAAAAAAAGTAACAGATTAAATAGTCCCGCTTAAATGATACTAGTCTAGTTAGTTAAGCTATACCTGTCTGTAAATTAATGAATGCTGGAGTAACAAAAACACATTTGCTTGTAGCTTTTGTCTTTCGTTCTATCCATTTACCAGATAAATCTTAAATTAGACGTTATGTTTAGTCTAGTCAAGCAATAACCCACAAGAGGGAGAGATACTTTATGTCAGCAGGGCTGTGATAATATATAGGCACAAGGCAGCATGCCACAAACAAGAGGTTTTACACCTTATATTACACACTTGACCTTAATATTTTCAAACTTCAAATCCTTGCTCCTAATTTGTCTCTGCAGCAACCAATCCATTGACCAGTGTTGTCTGGTGACAAAGGAGAATAGTGCGCAGAGATTTAATGAAGCTTTAATGAAGGCTTTGGGGGTCAACCAGGATGATAAGATGACCGAGGGATGCGATAACGGTGCTGCTTGAGATCAGACTTTGGTATTGTGATGTCATGACTCAGCAACCAGACAGGCAGCACCAGCAGGAGTGATGATGATTTCACCCATGTGAGCTGAAGAGCAGTGCCAGCGTGTGTGTATGAAAGAAATTGTCCAACCCTCAGGTTCCCAGGCTCAGAGAGTAAAACGTATCTGCATGCAAGATAACTATGTGACAAAATTACAGAATGCAGAAACAGGAATGCTAGGCAAACACAGAAGACACGCAGCTAAAATACGTTTCTATTACTGTGGCAGCACCCTGGAGGGTTTGGGTGTGTGGCCTCCTTTGAGAGAATGCATTTATTCTGACCTATATGCAAAGTCCTGTGTGCATCCTATCCATCCCCAGTGCACCCGCCCTCTGTGGGGATGGCGCGAGGCAGAGAGCGTGACTAGCAGTGTGACAACAACAACAACGTGTGTGTCGGCCCGAAGGAGGGGGATCAAGCTGATCTGAATCAGGGGTGCTGCTGTTGGTGTTGGAGGGGGGTACAAAGACGAGCGTGGCAACTGCGCCTCTGCAGCTGTGAGCCTACGTGAGCCTCGGCAGGAACGCTTTCGCTCCTAGTCTCAAACCCCCTCCCCTACTGTTTCCCCAACTCTCATCTCCAACTCTCTCCCCTTCATTTGCACCTAATAGACTTTTGAAAGCACTCCCTTCCCTCTTTCTCTCTCTTTTTCTCTATGAAAACTCCCTCAGTCCTATCCCACGTCATACTCCCAAACAGCGGGGACCTTGACAGTGAAAGATGTGTCGTGTTCGGGCAGCCAACGGATATCTGAGACGACTGAAAGGGAAAGAAAGGAAGCAAAGATAATCTTTCCCACACACACACACACACACACACACACACACACACACACACACACACACACACACACACACACACACACACACACACACACACACACACACACACAACATCTGATCTGGCCTGAAATGACCTAGAAGGGATATGTGTGTCTGTGTGTTTCCCTGAGCCAATTTACTCATGTCATAGGTACGCATGTGCGGTAAAATGCATGCCAAAGCACAGTGCACACACACTCATGTGATTCCTTCAGTATCTCGAGACTGCCTGTAAACACACGGCTTTAAGACCAAGGTCAGAGGTGATACAATATGCACAGGATTTAGCACAATGAGGAGGAGAGACGGCAGGAATGAAAATTAGGAGGAGAATGAATACAATAAAGAAATGAATACATGACTGATAAAAAAAACAGGAGAAGAAGGAAGAGCCAAATTAGGTATAAAAATAGGAAACACATTGTTGTGCATGTGCAAACCAGAGTGATGCCAGGGGAGAGTTTATCATAACAGAGATAAGGACTGAGCTGAAGCGGCTGACTGTCCTTGTGCTCTTCAGCAGGTGCATTTCTTGGCAGTGGATGGGAGTGGAGGGCCTTTTCTTTTTCATGCAGCCTGAAGAGCAGCGCTGACCTCTACTGGCTCCATGTGGATGTGTACATGTTAGCTAAAGGCCTCGTCCTCTTTTTTAGTCTTTATTTCCTGTACATTATGGAAAGTAATATGCGAGTTTGTACAAAGTTATTATGCAAAACACATAACTAGCGACTGCTTAAATAGCACCATGCCTTA